CTCTGAGACGAAAAAAAACTTGATGTACTAAATGTTGAAAACCATGAAACATGAGGGTAGTAAACAGAGATTTACCTTTTTTTTTTATAGGGAGTTTTAACGAAAAGGGTCTGACACTATTTATTTTTAATCAAAATGACATTTTGTGTATGAAAAGTCCATTATGGATCAAATTTTTTTTCTTTATTTACTCTTATGCCATTATTTCATTATTGTAGCGGGATCCATAATGATGTTGACATTTCTGTCTGGAAATACATTCTGCTTTTAATTCTAATAAACTATTGGGAAAATTAGAATCCCCTATAGTTTTTTTATATCATTTAGATTAAACATCTGTGTCTTTTTAAAATTTGATTAAAGTGATTTGACCAATAGTCACTCCTATTTTTTAAAATTAAAATAATTTTTTAATTTATCATTTTATCTGCACGATGCCCTTTTGCTAAATTTAGTAGAGATATTAGTAATTAAACTACATTTTCTCTTCTTCCAAATATGTTTTTTCGATCATAGTTTTTTTTTTTTTGTTATGCAAACATTTAATATTATTTTTTTTTCCAAATGGTTTTTTTCTTTTTCCAATAGTTGGTGATCAACATAAAAGCTCCATGTAATTTTTCATTTTTTTTGTGAAATTATATATATATTGCGGTTTTTTTAAGTATAGTTGTTGACAAATTATTATTAGGTACAATATATTACGCATATATTATCTGCGGATACACTTGAATTTACAAAAATCATTAATTGGTACGTTTATTTGCATTTTTGGTACGTTTGATTTGATACATATTGTTAATATTGGTACGTTTTATTTTGTACACATTGTGTATTGGTACGTTTATATTATTCTCAATCCTATTTTGACACATCCTGACCCGGAATGTCACGTCCCGATCCCGACATACGTCTAGGATCAACACGTGACGTCACATAATACCCACATCTATCATACCCTGCCTCCGGGATATGGGCAGAGCACAATTCGATAATCGAATCACATAATAATTTTTCGTATGCTTTATGGTTGCATCTAACCTCCTCGTTAGACTGCCTACGTATCCTAAACAGGGATCCAGCCATTCGTAGTTCGTCATGCACTATAATTGACATATGCCACAGTCTGTTTAAGCCAAAAGGCATAACATTTCTCAATCAATCAATAGAACTTGACAAGCATGAAATTACTAGACTCAGGGTTACATAACAAACCCACCTGAAAATCATGATTTCCCTTCCATATTCTATATAAGTCATTATGTCGCAACATGATACCGCAATTCACAACATATATCATATCAAGGAACCGACGAAGCACCATACAATTCTCTAGCCACATTAATTAACTAATTTGCCCAAAATAATAACAACTATAACCATATCTTCTAAATTCATACTTTATGAAATCATAATCGAATCATAGAAAATCCTGAAGGAGTCACCCAAATGTCCAATAGCTTTTCTAATTCAATTCACAAGATTTTCAAAACCATTGCTCATAAATATTCTATAACTAAGGCTAAAGTGACATAGTTAAGCCAAGCCTACATCTCTGAAGCTGATATCAAATCTAAGAAACCAACAAGTCAAGTAGTGCAACTTTGGACCACTTAACGAAATCTAAACCAGGAAACGATTTCGGACCATCACTCAACGGAATTCAAACAAGGATACGATTTCGGACCATCACTCAACGGAATCACTTGCACTATCAACTTCTCATGACCACTAACTATCTTATCATACAAGCATGAAAGTTATACATAATACTTCTCATAAGATTCTGGGTTCACATCGTCCTAAAAACAGTCATGCACATCATACTAATCATACATATCTAACCACATTTCATAAACGCTTCCAAGCTACAATTGAATCACAATTAATAAACATAGATCGATGCTAAAAATAAAATAACACTTCAATAGAAAGCACACTTAATTAACAAGTATAACTCAATATGATGCTATTAATACATATATCGAGACACACGTCAACCGAGACGACATGTCATTATGATGAGCCAACTAAGTTTCATCAAGCCTCAACAACAAACTAGAGATAAACGACACTTAGAGTATAGCACGTTGACTAGAACGTCAACCGTCGATAAGGTAGGTCCATTAAGATCAACAATCTAAGGTTATTCAAACCAGAAGACCATCATATCGGATTTTCGATCCGTAAGTTCTCAAAGGTCCAACAACTGATAACTAAGGTGCTCACAAAATTGACAATCCAACGATCGCATTGTCGTCAATCATACAAACAAGTGGTGGTCCAATTTGATCACCACATCAAACAATTGAATTTCGGGAAACCGAGCTAGACATAGGTTCATAGGGTCACTAGAAGGTATTTATTACTTAGACAACACTTGTGGACTGTCCCACGCACCGCCACATGCGGTGGTTGCCAAGGTGGAGGGTTTTGAAAACCCGAATTTTTAATATTAACTAAATGAGCTCAAATTTACGTGGTAGCTATAGCTCAACAAGGGACACACTTTTCACAACTAGGCCGACGATAAATTCTAACCGAAAACCATCTAAATTCACCGAAGAAAACAGGATTTCTAAGGTTCTAAACACCCAACATTAAAATGAATACGAGAGCACGAACCAAGCATACCAACTTGAAGATTATGAAGAGTAGATGAAGTTTCATACCTGTGACTAAGGCCAATTTAGCCGAAAAACACCTCAATTCACGACGAACCCACCGGAACCCTAGAAATTGGATGTGCTTTAATTTGACCTCCTTGGTGTTTCGTCGTCCCTACAACTGATTGGGCTTTGTTCCAGGGCTCAAGGGAGTCCAATGGAGGTGGAGATCGAAGGAAATCGTTTCCAAAATGGCGGATTGAAGACAAGGAACCCTCACACCCATCGGTGCGAGTTTCACCAAATTCAACCCAAAATTTCGTCCAATCTTGAATGAATATCGAAGGAGAAGGAGTGTGGTGGTGATTTCAAGCGATGATTGGGGAGGAAAGGGGGTCCGTTCTTTTTTTTTCTTCTCATTTTCTCTCGCCACTCCCGTGGCTTTCTTTTTCCTTCTTTCTTTCAGCCACTCTCGTGACTTTTTCTTCTCTTTTCATTTTTCTTCTATAATACCAATACGTAGATTATAATAATGAAATTCAGGAACGGGATTTCACACGGAATGTCCACTAGAACTCCGAATCGAGTTGTGCTGGCCGTCACCTGGAAGGTGACGAAGCCATAAAGTATAATGATGTGGAAAATGTGAATAAATTTAAACCTAAAAGTACTTAAAGACAAGAGTGTGTTGTGAGCGGGAATGAACTAGTTTCACATGCAACTTCAGAGTATAAGTAAAGTACAGTATTATGGGTAAGGATATACCCTCGTAGGTAGCCACATATATTGAGATTTGCCAAGAATCCTGGTCGATACGAACTTTCAGCAGCTAAAACCTGGAGGGGCGCAAAAACAAGGGTGAGTGGGCCTGAAAATAAAGTTTTTAATAAAAACCTTTTAAAAAAGTTATAACCCCTCGCCGTAAAATTCGTATAATTTCCCAGAAAATAATAATACATACGTATATAGAAATCATGCTTGAGAGTAGTGAAAATTGAGTATATGCCATGTCAAGTATTTCAGCAATGAAATAAGTAAGCCATGTGAAATAAATCAATGTAAAATGATATGCCAACCGGAGTCACCTAACATGACATGTACGGCTGAACCAATAGCTCATTAACCAATTCCTGCACACGAGTTGGAACCACTTAATGTGGTCTGCATGACAGGGCTGGGTGTAAATAAGTACGCTCAAGTGTTACAATCACGTGAAGGCTGTGCGAATAATCACGGGTCACCTACAAGTCGGAACCATCTATTGTGGTCTGTACGACAGGGATGTTCACCAAACTTGGACCTAAGGTGGGCGCGGTATGGAAGGTGAACATCAAGTGAAGGACTATGCCTTGGCCACGGGCAGGAGCACTAACATCGAGGTGCAGGATAATGAGCTCTACATGCCTCTACGTATAACCATAACAAATACAACCACTAACATCATACAGTACTCACATGAAACTTACCTGGCCTCCGCAGCGTCATACAATAGTATGCATATACATACCAATGCATATAATAAAATGAAATGCAAGCATGACATGGCATTTAAAAGAATACGCTCGTTTCAAAACAGTTTCTGGGAAAATGTAAAGCATATATACATATATATAGAAAACCAAAAGCCTACTCACTTGGAGTCCACGCTACAACTCCCTAGCACAAACATCAAGGCATCACGAACGATCGGCGCCTAGAACAATTATCAAATCATGTCTTAGAATTCTTAGCAATAGAACATATAACTTACATATCCAATTCGGGAAAATCCGCATGTCAGATTCCCGATCTGTAAGTTTCTAATATCCTCAAATATTACATACTATATCGTATCAAGGTTTGGTGACGATCCAACCGTTGGATCGTCAATTTCTATAATAATCAAGCGACGGACCTTAATGGAACTAGTTTCAAACGATGGGAATTCATGAATTGAACTTTACATAAGAATTTGAGGAATCAAATTTAGCCTAGAAAGGTCAAGAGATGTCACGGCCCACGCGCCGCTGCAGGTGGCAGTTGGCTGCTCCAACTAGTTAGAAAATTCAACTATTTCTAAAAATTATCAAACTTTTATACCTGTGACTAAGGCCAATTTGGTCGGAAAAAGCCCTAATTTCATGAAAATCCACCGGAAACCCTATAAAGGGTGTGCTTCGATTTGTCGACTCCAAAGCTCCACCGCCCCAACCACCGATTGGGTCTTATTCCTGGGTCCAAGGGAAGGCTAGTGGTGGTGGTAATCGTAAGAAATAGTTGCATGATTGGTGGATCTCGAGCATGGCATCTACGGCACCTACAGTTATTTCCTTCATGAATCTCGACCAATTCTACAACAGATTTAGGGGGACATTTGTGGACCGATTCACCCTATATGCGGACCATTTAGATATTTTATGATTTTGGTTTACACTTCCACACATTAGTCACACATGTGCTTGTTTGTGTGGATTGGACAAAATTGTTGGTGCTATTAGAGAGAGCAGACATATGTTGAGCTAGTTGTGACATTTGGTCTTCAAGAGATGGTTTCTTAGTCTCACTAGTTGATTGGTAAGACTGTTGGTATTGACGTGGCTGTTGGTTGCCACCCCAACTAAGATTAGGATGGTTCTTCCACCCAGGATTATATGTATTGGAATAAAGGTCACTTCTGGGTCTAATGAAATTATTCACCATATTCACATGCTTTTGCACAAGCTCAGGGTAGCTATCCTTGTTGGGGCATTGAGTGATGTCATGAGTTGTCTCACTACAAATGATGCAAGCTTCTTGGGCATTGGGCATGGAAGAGACTTGCATTAAGGCAACAAACTTGGCATTAAAATTCTTCTCCATTTTAGCAATTTGAGCAGAAACATTAGGAGAACTCTGAGAAATCTCAAAAACTCCCCTCTTTTGTGTTTGTTCTTCTGTCCATCGTTGGGATTCAGAAGCCATCATATCAAATAACTCAAATGCTTCCCTTGCTGATTTTGACATTAGTGACCCTCCAGCAGATGCATTCACTTTACTCTTGGTGGCGGCATTAAGACCATCATAAAATATGTTCATTTGAAGGTTAGAATCAAACCCAGCATGAGGACATTTTGTGTACATCTCATTAGACCGTTCCCAAGCTTCATGGAAAGACTCGTTTGGCTTTTGAGCGAAAGCCAATATGTCTTTTTTGAGTGCAAGAGTCTTGGAAGAAGGAAAAAACTTATTGAGAAATTTTTCTTGCAATTCTGTCCATGTTGTAATGCTATTGGCAGGCAGAGAATGCAGCCACGCCTTGGCTTTGTCCTTCAAAGAGAATGGAAAAAAACGTAACTTGATAGCTTTAGAAGAGACACCTCTGATTATGGTGTTGTCACATGCCTCAATAAAATCAGCCAAATACGTGTTGGGATCACTGTTTGGCAACCCATGAAAGGATGGCAATATGTTGAGGATGTGAGGTTTGATTTCAAAGGTTGTCCCATCTTCCACATCTGGATATATAATGCACCTTGGCACTGCATTGACTCTCGTTGCCAATGAATTCCTTAAAGGTTGACCTGCTACAGGTAAGGCTAGGGCCATATGTGCAACTGGTGCCAAAGGTTGGAAAATAGATGTGATGCTCTTAGGATCACGTAACAAATCCTTAAGAAAAGTATCACCAATGTTGGAATCTTGTGCTAAATATTTTTCTCTAGCTAACTTCCTTGCACTTCTCTCTGGTTCAAGGTCGTAAGGAATAAGCACTTGATTCTATGACCTTGTTCCAATCACCATATACTACACCTGAACAAACAACAGAAATATTAAGCCACAATAAAAATAAAAGTAAAATAAAATAAAACTTAACAGAAACTAACAAAACAACAAAAAGGAAAAGAAAGTAAGTAAACCTAGATGAATAAAAAACACGGTTTATGCAAATTGGCAACCACTAGTTAGTTAAACAAAGACAAAAATCTCACACCACACATCCACTGCACTTAATCAAAGATCGAAACTCAACTAAATTAATTATTTTTTTTTTAATTTAATGATTAATAAAAATAAGACATAAACATAAGCATAAGAAAAATAAACACAAAAGCTCGGGAACTGTTGGCACAGTCCCCGGCAACGGCGCCAATTTCTTGATGGTGATTTTTACCACTTGTAAAACAAGGGTTAAACCATAGAAAATTCTTGCAAGAGAACAAGTGTTTTTAGTATAGAATGGCTCAAGCAAGGTCGATCTCCTCAAGGACTGATATAAACAATTTACGAGTTTTTTTGTGTATTTAACTTATTTAACTTTAAGAACTACACTAATTTGACGAAACTAAACACTACTGGATGTGACTTAAACAAATATCTAAAATGAGAAGTGGCTTTAGGAATAGTGATCCAACTAAACAAAACAAGTAAATATATAAACTCAATATAATACAAATAATTGAAGAAAATTAGATTGACAAGGTGCTACAATTCAACCTTTACCAACAACACTCCTACGAAGCTCTTCCAATTGCTTAAGTAATCGAAAACACATATGCTTTGAAGGTTGGATTTTCCTTTTGTATGTTTTACTTGTGACATTCAAGTTAAAACGCATACCACTACATGCAATTTATCCATGACATTTGGATTAAATATAAACTTGAATGATTCATTAATCTTGATGAAAATCCTTTTGTTAAACCATGTAATCCCTAAGAGTATGATATTTACCTTATGAGAAATTACAATCCTCAATCCCAAGAAGCATAACCAATTTTAACGTGACATTCGTTCAAAATTGCATCCAATGACTTTTCTAAGCATCCTAATGGTGATCAATCATCAAGACACATAGATAGTTTAATTTAGAGATTGAAAATATCAAAGCAAGCATGTAACAACACTTAAGCAATTGAAAGAGAAATCCTTAACAGCCAACTCATCAGACCGTTTGGAAAGTAGTCTGTTATCTTTGGGAGTGAGAAGGTTCTTGGCCACCACCGCAGCGGTCATATCATTCTTCATCACATAGTCCCCAACGGTAAGATGACCAGTAAGGGATAAGAAGGATAGGCGCCATATGTTGTCTTGAGAAGGCATGGCTGCCTCTTCACCAAAGTTCAAGTCAAAACGACGGTCGGATGGGCCAAACATTCTCAGAAATGATGAGGGAGAAATGAGGTGCAATAAATCTTTGAAGTAAGGGGAAAATTCCTACAAGCAATAACTCTCTAAATGTACTTCTTGCACATAATTGGTGCCCTTATAAAAGAAAGGGTAACAAGGCTGTTGGTTCAAAAATCGAAGAGGCATCACTCTCCGGATTCCGAAGAGGCACCACTTTCCACACGCAACATCAGCTCCTCGGGCACCACAGATAACTTTGCCAAAGATCTTTGACAAAGTTTACAAGTCACTGCTTGATAACTAGAAAGTCTTAATGTGTGTCAACCTCCGTGCTCCGTGGCAAGGCAGACTGGCAAAAATGTCTAACCTTTACTCACATTCGAGAAAACACTCCCAACAAGATTGCTTGCTCAAAAATCGAAGAGGCGCCCTCCGAATCTCGAGAGCCAGACTCCCAACAAGATTACTTTCTCAAAAATCGAAGAGACACTGCTCTCCAAATCTCAAGAGTTAGACTCCCAACAGGATTACTTTCTCAAATCTCGAGAGCCAGACTCCCAACAGGTTTACGTGCTCAAAAATCGAAGAGGCACCACCCTTCGAATCTCGAAAGCCAGACTCCCAACAAGATTACTTTCTCAAAAATCGAAGAGACACTGCTTTCGAATCTCAAGAGTCAGACTCCCAACAAGATTGTTTTCTCAAAAATCGAAGAGGCACTGTTCTCTTAATCTTGAGAGCCAGATCCCCGACAGGATTGCTTGTTTGAAAACTGAAAATGCACCGCTCTCCGAACTTCGAGAGCCAAATTTCCTTGGATAAAACTTGTCTGCAATCTTCACACGCAACATCAGCTTTCCAGATACCATAGACCACTTTTTCAAAGTGCTCTGACAAAGTTAAAACATGTGAAGTTTGCAGCTCCCACTGTATTGCTATGACCAAGAAGGGTAAAGGAATAACACTACTACTTGTTGTTAGAGAGACTCCTATATATGTCGACCTCCATCTTCCACAGTCAAGCAGACCTGCAAATAAAAAAAAATGCTCAACTTTTCTTCACATCCGAGAGGGCACTCTCAGCAAAGTCTCACGAAATACTCAGCTTCTTTTCCTCCCGATAATACCTCTGCAAACAAGCCACACCAGAGCAAGAGTATCTCATATCATCAGGGTTAAAAGCAAGAGTATCCCATATCATATTTTTTTCCCCGTCTTTTCCTTTGGCCTTGTTCTTACTTGCAAGACAAGGAGAAAGAGAGCAATCAGTCAGCACTTGGAATTAAGCTTCCAGTCAGGAACTGACTGCCTGGAACCCCTTGCCTGATTACTTACCTGACATTGCTCTCGAGTACTCATCTTTAACATCTTATGCTTCCAGAGAAGATACCACATCTGCCTGAGGAACAGATAGGGCAAGTGAGAATGATACAAGAAGCATTTGGAGACAAGCGTAACAGAACGTGTCGATACATCCACTACTTTGTCAACAAGAACATACTCTAGATTTGATGGACTTGTTTTGACCCTCAAATTCTTGAGTCGGCCTTATACTCTGGAGGAAACCAGAAAACCCTCCAGCCCAGTTCAAGAATAAGCCTGTGAAAAGTTACTTCTTCAAAAGCAAAAGTATCTCATATAATCTCTTCTCCATTTGCTTTTCCTTATCCTTGTTGTTGTTTACGACACAAAGAGAAGGAGAACAATCAACCGGAAGTCGACGTCGAACCTCTGGTCCAGGTTGCTTACTTGGAAGTCTGATTACTTACCTTGTTTGTTACCTCATTCGGCAAATCTCCTAGCTCGGCTACTTGGGGGACTCCTACTATAGGGTTTGTATCGCACTTGACCAAGCCCGAAACTACAAGTAAGCTTAAAGTGAAATTGATACATTACCTTGTGCATCTTCATCGGTTAAAGATACCACCCCTGGATAGAGGAAAAGTACTTCCAGAAAAGATGTCACATCTACATATGAGATAGATAAGGCAAATGAAAATGATACCACACTTTGGTACTTAGAAGTTTCGTGATTACTCAATGGCTTGGATCTTGCAAGTCCCCAACCGAGGAGTTTCCCTCACTCGGGAACTTAGGGGAACACTGTTTGTACCATACTTAACCAATCCCGAAACTACTGAGCACCGGTCAACGTTATACCGTTAAGGACCTAGAAGAGTTTCCCTCCAACCAGGAGGCCAATCACAGCGTGACACGTGTCGACATCAGAAGCCAATCATTGCGCGACACGTGTCAACATCAGAAGCCAATCATAACACGACACTTGTCAATGTCATAATGAAACTAGAAACTCTCTTCTATAAATAGAGATCATTCTCTCACAATATTTCCTAATGTCATTGGTACTAAATCATTCACTTGTACTCACTAAGGGAGAGCTTGAACCTATGTACTTATGTAAACCCTTCACAATTAATGAGAACTCCTCTACTACATGGACGTAGCCAATCTGGGTGAACCACGTACATCTTGAGTTTGCTTCCCTGTCTCTACTCATTTACATATTTATCCACACTAATAACCGGAGCAATCTAGCGAAGGTCACAAACTTAATACTTTCTGTTGTACCAAAGTCTTCACTGATTTTGTGCATCAACAACTATAAATAAAGGCATTACGTACGAGAGAATAATATACATACATTTCCCTACGATTCTACAAACACATCTAACATCTCTCATCTCTCATCTCTCCCTCTCTTTGCCGTCGGCCCCTTCACTATAGTCAGATAAAATAGGTTACAACAAAAATTATCTTTTCACTCCTTTTTTATTTAAAATTTTAATAATAAGTAAGTTTAGATATATAATACATGTTTGTCGATTTAAACATGATTTCTGTTCAAACATGATCTTCTATCTTATTAGGGATATTTTTTTTAATTATTTTTTGTCCCTTTTTGTCATTTTCGAATCAGTGTTGAGTACCAAATGCACGTGGCTTTAACGAATGTAAAAATGTGATTTTTTTTAAAGTAAACAGTATCATGAACTTTTCGTTAAAACTCCCTTGTTTAAAATCCTAGACACGAAACGTACAACTTTTATATAATCTCTCCACGGGACCCCGACTTGGGAACAATGCTTGGATGAGACACGTGGTTTTCCTCTTGCTCTAGAAATCTTTTAACTCTGGTTTAGTTCTTTACCTCAGGTAATGTTCTTCCTTCCGGCCCTTCCAGTCGGCAAGAAACAAATTCTACAAATAAAATATAACCCTATGGTGTTTAACATTATTCTAAAAGATTTCGTCTAGCGCCGTTTAGACGTTAAGTGATTGGTCATCATCTCGATAAGTCGTTAAATATTTGAAAATTAAGAAACTATGCTTAGATTTGCTTAGGCGTCTGCCTAACTTACCTAAATGTATCTAGGCATCCGTCCGACTCTCACTTAAACAAAAAAATTGATAACTTTCATTTTATATTTTAATTTTTCAATAAAATTTGAGAAACTTGT